GAGGCTTTTGCCTCTCTAGCTTTGGGTCTTGGCTACTTGTGCATGAATTTGCACAGAGCCTCTGGGGAGGGAATATTCACTCTCATGGAGTTCCCCAGGGCCACAGCCAGCAAGCCCTGCCTGCATCCTGCTGTACTGCTAGAGAAAACTGGGATCCTGCACTTGTGTTGCATTGGTCACTCCCTTGCACTTGAATGGCCCAATATAAAGCTCAGGTGTTAAACTGTGGACTGAACTGCTTGTAAAACAGCTGCCTTACTCATCATGCTGCTCCAGGGCATGCAATAGCATCCTGTCTTATCATGGAGAATGCTTTTGATCGAGTTGGTCCAGATGACAGGAGAAGCGTGGCCTGCGAGAAGCAGCATGTCCAGAGCATCCTGCAATGGCTTGTTCAGTTGTTGGCAGCCTGAAAGGCTGAGCAGTCTCGAGCTAACTCCTGTGCACAGTGTTGCGTTACCTCAAGCTCGGATTGGACTGCTGGCTGTGCCTGCTGTCTCTGTCTCAGTGGAGTGGTAGTCTGCTCCTCCAATGGAAAAGTTGCTTGGGGAGTAATGGGGTCCTTGGCCATTCCCACAGAACAATACTATTGTGTATTGCATCCAGCACTGGCCATCATGTGATTGATAAAACCTATAGAAGATAATGACCCACGTGTTCACTCCTCACCCTTAACAACATGTCTGTTTAGACTGTCAGTCTTTAACAAAACACTAGCATTAAACCATTTAACTTGAAGTTAGGAACCAACCAGTTCATCCTTACTTCAGGCTAGCCCTTCATCTTCAGAGTCTCATTATAGGTCTCCATTAGCCCCTGTATGAAGCAGGAGCTCCCTGGTGCTCACCTCACTGACATGCATTTTTAAAAGTGTGTCTCAGATGGGGCTGTCTGTCCCTGTGGCTTTTGACGAAGCAACAACTTCAGTTTGTTGGTTTTTTTCAGCATGTTGAAAAGATGCTCTGGAAAGACACCCCTCCTTCTGACTAGCAAAAGCAGTTTAGGCTATTTGAATCCCATGAGCAACAGAATGTGTCAGAGTGTGTGCTGTAATCTCTGCCCTGGGTTGTTAGAGGCCTCTGCATCACCATGTGCCTATTGCTGTGCTGGTGCTATGTACATCCTGCATCACAACAGCACAGTCCCAATTCAAATTGCTTAAACTCTAAGTGTTGGGGTGTGCAACTGGGATGCAGGAAAACTTTTCTTGAATAACTTGTCAACAGGACATGTGACAAATGAAGTCACCAAGTGCAACCTAGTATGGTTGGAGTCTCATGTTTCCTCTGGATCTTGCCTAACAGCTAGTAAATCACAATACAGGGATTGCAAGGCAATGAGTAACCTTGCAAAGACACACTTGCCGTTTGCTTGTGTCTCCCTTGCACCTTGCCATGCAGCAGTTGGACTCAACATGGCATGAGCTGATATGGTCCTTAGCGTGAACTTCCTGCAAGCTGGTAAGTGCCCCAAGAGTCTTATGCCTAAAGACTGCTCAGTGTATAGCGTTGGTTGTGTGTTCCAGTTGGCTTCCAAAAGGGCACTCAGTAGTGCTGACACTGCCCTTGAAAAGTTGTGAATAATAAACATATTAACAAAGGTAAAATAAATATTAGAGGTAAGGGGAACATGTGTCTGTCACCTGGGTAGGTAGTGGGCAGGAGATCATTCTTCTGGGTCAGGCCTGATGATCCTGTGCTTGATCCAGAGACTTTGTGCATGGAGGGCCTCTTAGTGTGTTATTATGATAGCTCAATGTGATTAGTTACTAGCATCCTCAAGCAGATTCAGGGTGGTGATGGTGGGGTAATCTGCCATGGTTTTTCATGGCACCATATTTGCGCTTTTTTTCCTTTGTGGCTTTCACATGCTAAGAATTTGTGGACGATAGCGTTAATCTTCAGCAAGAAGCTGCAGCTTTTCAACACAGAAGCATCTCTGACTCACTTTGCAAGGAAATGAATAGTAGTCCTGGTTCCCATGTTTCAGTGGCATGACACTTAAAATTTGGAGTACCTAACACCTTTTCCAAAATTAACCACAACTGGGATCAAGGTGCACCCCAATATATAAATAATATAGCAACAGTCTATGAGCAATCACAGGTGTGGCTTCCATTTATGATTCAGAAAAAATAATGAGCTCTGTGGATGAAAATAGGCATTTGGGCAGGGATTATGCAAGGCCTGAATTATGATGCAGGATGGGTGGGGATAACATCTCTTTCAGTTTACAAATGCTAATCACAAGCTCAGCAGCCAGAAATCTCTGCAGCACTATTTAACGAATATTAATAAGTATAATTAAACTTTGTGTGCTAGATTTTCAGTGCCAAAGAGCTATGTGAAATGCAAAATATGCTATATGTTTTTGGTTTTAAATGAAAATAAGCTGCTTTAGAAGAAAGCTAACAGGAAATTAAAAGATTAAACTACTCTAAAAACAAAAGTTTACCCCAGGAACACTCAGTACACACAAAGAAAATGAATAGGCTACCTAACTACAGAGAGCCTACAAGCAGATAAAATGAGGGTTTACCTCCATCTCCAATTTCCTTCTTGACATAATCTAGAGAGTATGTATTTAGCATACAGCTTGTAATAATATTAAAAGTGTTTATAAGGGCCACAGTCTGTAATCATGAGTTTGAAGGGTGGGAATTCTACCATGACTGATCTGGCCATCACCTTAACCTTGAATTCCTGACAAGACTTGGGCTGAACACCATCAGCAATTACTCCCTACTGTAATAACTGCCCTTACAAAATTGGTGTCTTTGTCCTGGACTAGAAGGATGCTTTCCTTTATCATGTCAAACTTAACACTTCACTCAGACTGTTTAAAAACTAAATCAAGGCTGCAGCTGGAGTAAATGCAGTCTTGGTGGGTGCTCTTCTGCAGTTTCAGAATGGTAGTAATTGTGCCTATTGCAGTCTGGGAGTGAATGGAAAACTCCTAGTAACAGCAGCAACAATCAGTAATTTTAAATGACTGCAGATTTAATTATGTCGTCAATCTGCATGCTTCTGAATCAGGTTTAATTTCTGTTTTTTCTCTTACAATGCAAAAGAAGCTGATGATCAGCTACAGCTCTGTGTTACTTAGTGACTTTGTCTGTTTAAGAGCAAGTTAATATAGTGAAGTTAAGCTAACGGGTTTTTCAAGTCACCTGGTACTAACACAGCCTCTTCCTTTCAGGAAAAGGTATACTGAGGCAAACATCCTGTCCTTTAGTTACAGCTGGACTCTGCTTCTCTAGGTTGATTTGCTAGTTTGAAACTCACCAAGTGAGGGGTGTTTTGCCAACACCAGAGCAGCCAAGCAGCACTTACCAACACCAACCCTTACACAGGGTGAATATGACAAATGCTTCTGCTGTCACTTGGTACTTAGAGTGTTCTTTTGCTTGTGCAGTTTTGAGCCTGAGGGAGAGGTCACCCACACCCTCCCCTCTCCCTTCTCACCCACTTCGCTGGCAACCACATCTCATTGAGGTCTATTCAGTGATCCTGGGTTCACTGTGGGGCTGCCCTGGATCCAGCCCTCTGGAGTTCGCTGCAGTACAACCCCCTTTGCCTCAGCACAGCTGCTACCTCCTGGGACTCAGGAGCCCTCACCAGCATGGCTGGGTGGTTCCCAACAGGGCCGCTGAGAGCAGGGTGAGCAGTATATATGGCCTGCTTCTTGAATAAGGAAGCTGTGAGAGACATTGCTTTTCCATAGATGCACATTTTTCTTCCCTGCTTTAACACAAATTCCTTGACTCTCCAAATTTCAGTTTATCAAGTTGTAACTTCTTTGAAGTGTGATTATTCCAGTCAAATCAAGCTGGCAAGGGTCTTTGTCCTCAGAGGCAGAGCTATCAGGCCTTGCCCAGGTGAGCCCAAACTCTGAATATTCAAATGTGATCAGATTGTTGCAAAAGCATGTTGTGTCCTGACAAGTCTTATCATGTGCCCGGGGACAAGCAGAGAAATGTCTTCTGGCCAGAACTTGCAAAGCTTCCCCCACAGCTCTACAGCCTTAATTACTCACTTGGAAAATGAAATACAATTTTTGGGTCATACAAACTTTGTTCCCCAATGCACAGGAATCTGGTGTCTTAAGAAGCAAGGCTTCTACCTGCCTTTGTCAGTGACCCCCTTAGTGTCACACAGAGAGAATCACTGAATTGTGGACCAAGTCCTCAATGAAACCTTATTATTATGGATTTTTAGAGATTAAATGGCCAAGTTACTTAAATAGTATAAGACTTGCCTATAAGTTACTTTCCTTTTACTCAAGAGGTATGTCAGCTCTGTAACCTGTTTGAATGTCCTGCTCATAGCCAAGCAGTTCAGTTACTATGTTCAATTCAGGTTCTGTCCGTTTTACTTCAGTTGCACTAAAGGTAGTTTCTTGCTTAACTTCTGAAATGAGCCTTAACATCATGCTGTAATTCAGCTGACACAAAGCACATGGTAAGAAAACATCACTACAGTAAGAGTTGAGTTGGGTTTTTTTAATACTCAGGACTGAGTAGAAAATACCAACTCTCAGGAAAAGAGTATGCAATTCTTTTTTCTAGGAGAAAAAGTAATGGAGGTTAGGTTAAAAGTCTTCAACATTTTAGGAATTGCAGAAAAGGTTATGTAAGACCATTCAAAAGCACAAGTTTTATAATGGTTTTAAGCTTTTCAGCACTATAAATATGAAAATACCTTGTACTCAGAAGCAGATCAGGTAAAAAATCTGCTGCTGCTACATTAGCAGTTTTTTAGGGAACCTTTACTGCTAACGGAAGTGAAAATATGTGCTAGCAGGCAGGGCTGGAGAAACTCTAACAAATACCCCATTTTGTACCAGGTATTTTGGCTAAAAGGGGTGGGTTCAAGTACCAGGAATGGAGTGGGACCCAGAGGCAAAAGCTAGGAGAGATTTACAGGGCAGCTGCTTGGGTTTAGACTGAGTTCTACTGGAATGACAACTACCGAGTCTCTGCTGACTCTCACAGTCTACAACAAAACAGGTGCAGCTGAGCAGCGTTGATCTGTTTGCTGTAGCAGTGATGGTGTAACTGAGAAGGTACATTATTTCACAGTCCTAGGGTTAAAACTGTTCATATTTAAGGGGAAGGTTACAAGTATAAATTTTACTTTTTCCACCTTAGAAAAATCTGGTTCTGGAAAGCAGAACTTTCAGTAGGCTGAGTATTCCAATCGACAGCCTTGCACAGGATTAGGTAGTTTGTTTATGTTTTGAAGGCCAATCTGCATGTTCTTAGCAGTGTTGCAGCACAGCTGCAAGTGTTTAAGTGCCTTTATAATTGAAGCTTAGTAATCTTCCCATCTGTAAAAGCTAAGTGATTAGCCATTACTGAAAAACTGCATCTGACATTTTTCCCATACAGTATAATTCCAAGGATGGTAACCTGCTTTATACCGAAATAAGCCCACTGACAGAACTGTTCAGACTGCTAGATCAAGGCAAGTATTTACCTACATACACAGCTTGAAGATCAAAGTTGTGTGATGCTTCTTATCTTCAGTAACCTTATCCATGGCTAGCATACTACAGTGAAATACACTTGTTTTGTGGTAAGTATTCACAATTTCTTTCCCCTTCTAACCATGCTATCTATACTCAAAGTTTTTTCATCCTCAGAATATAAGTAGTTCACTTTCAGTGACCCTTAATGTACAATTTAGTTATTTTTTTTTCCAGGTGAAAAATTGAAGAGAGGAACACTCCTTGCCTCTCTTTTCTGTATGATGGTGGCTAACATGCTATGGGTGACTCTAGAAAAAAACCAAAGTCATTCATGTTAGGCCAGATAACTTAATCTCACAGAATGTTTTATTGCCAGCACAAAACTATAGACAACATGCTACCAGGCAGTAACGAGGCATTAAAATTAACAGTGTGCAATGTGAGTTATTGAACACTTCTGCAGCAGTCTTAATTCTAATTAAATGCAAGGTGAATTCAACATTTGTTGTATATTTAACATTATTGACTTTGAACTTTGCAGTAAATGCAGAACTCAAATGCACAATTGCATACACTATTCAATAAAGCAAAATCCAAAATGTATCATAAATAAGTATTTTATAACTTTATTAAACTCAAGACATGACAATATTCAAAATACAAAGTGAATTATTTTTTATTCAATACTGTACATGATGCAGAAATATCAGTGCATTTCTATAGCATGTATTTCACCTTCATTTAGTTTGTACTAAAACAAATAAAAAGTAAGCTTTAAAATAGCTCAAACATCTCATTCAGCAGTTTAAACTGTAAACAGCTTGTTTACTTCTGTTAGGAGGAACACATTCATCTTCTGTACCCCCATTAATGAGCACCCTTTCTCTTGTGCTTTTCTGTAAGAGGATAAATGTAACCAAAATGAGCATGAGAAACTGCTAATGTGGCACCTCAGTGAACTTCAGTGGATGGCTGAGGCACAGTGAAGAAAAATTAAACAGCAAGAAGCAGCATCAAAGCAGCAAGAGACGGGACTGACACTGTTCATAAATGGAATCATGTTTTTCCCTCGTACCCTCCTCCTCCTCCCCTAAAATACTGAACAGAAACAAAAACACAAGACCAGCTTGTGCTGTGTTTCTGTATTTAATACAGTCAGAATTTCAGACTCTAGGTGAGCACACAGTTGTTACTGCCTACCTGACAGCAACCGTGTGGCTGCTCAGGACACTCTCACACGTATCTAGGATCCAGCAGGAAAAGAGCAGCAGCAGAGGCTTAGCAATAGCTGGTCCAAGTCTCTTCTAGGAAAAACTGCAAAACTGAGCCAAGTGTGTCTAGCAAGTGAATCCACAAAACCAACTCACTTTAAAAGTCTATTAGCATCAAATTAATTTGTAAAATAGATTAAACTTTCAAAATGTGCTTCCAATATGCCTGTCAAGTCTTGAAGTGGGTATCAAATCTTGCAGTTACCTTCTTATCAGGCTGACATAGCCTAGTCAAAGAGAACAGAGTCTGTTCTCAGTACGGTTACTGTATAAAAGAAATTTTGGAAAATACCCAATACAAAAACTGTACTGCATTACTTGGTCTGCTGTCTGCTTTATAAGTGACTCATCAGCAAAGCTCGATTTTAATTATTTTTTTTTTTGATAATGTGACTACCAAATACGTTCATCTAGGTAGCATACAACTGGCCAGCTGTGACTACTATCCCTCCATGTTTCTTTGTATGGGAACTTTGTAGGTTTTCAGCTTACATACCTAGACAAACAAAAAGAGTCTTAAGAAACATATCGAATATATGCAGCATAAGAGGACTTTACAATCCACTTTCCAGTTCTCAGAGGTCAAACTGCTCCTACTTCATTATCTGAGAACCATAAGAACTTTGTAACATGATAAAGGTCAGCTCCATCCTGAACAACTGAGCTGGGACTGACTGTGCTCCCAGAAACTACGGGGAAACCACATAAGACAGGTGTTTTCGTTTCAGGTGACCACCTATGTCCATTCTCGGTTTTGAGTCCAGTTTTGTCGGAGCTGAGGTGGCTGTGCAGTCACCAGACCAGGACTGAACCTCAGTGTTAGAGCTCCTTTCTTCTGCTTCTCTGAAGAATTTCTCATACTTGTCCAAATATGGAGGCCTTTCAGGTAGCAGATAGTAGTGTGTTGAACTGGCCTTCTTACCATTTTCAATAATTGGAAGAATGCAAGGGACCCTGTTTGAAGATCCTTCACTATTTTGTCTTTGTAGAGCTTTGCTGCTGACATACTTAGGATCAGGTGCAAAACTCTGGGTGGGGGGCATAACCCCATTGAGGTATGATGGGAGGCTTTTGGGGCTCGGGGTACGGGAATTGCTGTGTGACAGAGGTTCTCTTGGGGGTACTTTTGGAGGCCTGTCTTCATCGCTGTACGCGCTAGAAGCAACTTCTGCTGACCACCTTCTGTAGTCTGGTTTGAGCGCCCTTGGAGGTATGGGAACCCTTGGTGGAATCTCTGGTTTATCTTCATCAGAGGTTGGAGAAGACCTGTTTAAGTGTCCAGATAGTCTTACTATTGGTTTATTAAGAGATCCAGCTGGCCCAGAATGGGACCTTCGCAAGCGTCGATGCAGCTGCTGTGGAGGAGGGTAAATACTGGATATGTATACATTTAGGCTTTGTGTAGGGTTGGAATCTTCTGGTTTTGGTCCTGCTGGAGTATCAAAGTATGCATAGTTGATCTGTCCACAGCCCCTAAAGCTCCGCCGACTTGGAGCACTGGCTTTAAAAGGAGGAAGTTCATAATCTTCTAACAAAAAGTCAGTATCTGAGCTAGTCAGGAATTCCACTTCTTTGTCAACCTCATCTGAAGTAAGGTCTTCAGAAATAGGTAGAGGGGGTAGAGGCCTGGAGCTACGATCATTGGAAGATGTAGACAGAAATTGAATTGGTCCATTTTTTATTGCCATGTGAGGAGGTGTTTCTTCAGAAACACAGCTCATGGTTAATGATAGTTTACTAAAGCCAGGAACGAGATGGTCTTCATATCTTGAAACTGTCAGTTCACTTTTGGGACTTACAGGAAGTGGACTGGATTTCTGAGATGGGACTTGGATGCAACTTTCAGCAATGTGGTCATTCATGGAAGCCTGGTTGGAAGAGTGCCCTAAAAAGGTGAAAAATTCTTAGAGACACTTTTCTAAGTAACACTCTAGCACATGACTTTACCACTGCATATTTAATGCTTTCTAATGCAACAGTAAGTAGTGTCTGTTTAATGACTACAGTAGTGAAATTAGGTATTACAGATCTCTTATGGTCATGGATTTATGCTTTAGTTAAGATAGCAGCAGATTACTTTATTGTTTCAGGTCAGTGCTCCAGTTAAATGAGGTAGTTCAAGAGACCCCATGCATAAGCAAGAGAGAGCTACAGCTACAAAGATCTCAGCATAGGACTACAACAGAACAAGTGCTATTTTAGTAAATGGTTTTTCTGTCAGAAGTGTAATGGCAACTCGAAGGCATCATAAGTACAAGGAAAAGGTGTGTCGGAGTGTTTTTGTTTGTTTGAACTTCATCATGTTATTTAAAAGTGGGTTTTTTGGTTGGACTTGAATAGGAGCGTTTTCTTGAAATGCTCCGTTCTGGCACCGGGGGGCGCCCGTCGCAGCCAGGGACGGGTCTGCGTCGGGCCCGGAGACAGACAATCCACTCACTGCACTTCTAAACACTCGTGTGTCAGTCTTTTATACTCACCAATGGATGGCAAATGCTGCTCTGTCGATGGACCTAAATTATATGCCACTGCTATAGGGTCCACATTAAAGAAAGTACTAAAAAAAGAAAAAAAAAAGCCTTCACTGTAAACAAACCATAGGTCTGTCACCAAATACAAGTACTCATCATACTCATTTTATATACTTGAAGATGCAACAGATTAAAATTTTAGCCTCACTCACTTTTCAAATCCACTGTGGCTACCCCAGCAGGTTTTCAAACTCCCCATGCCTTGACTAGTGTGAAGAAATCCGGTTTTTAATGGGACTCTCATCTCCTGAGCAGCAACTCCTGCAGTTGACATTGTGCAGCGTTCTCTGGTGATGTCTCACGACGACCTTAGATATTCAGTACTTGACAGGTTTCCTGCGGTTTTCATTCCCTTCAACAGAGAAGACATAAATATCAGAAATGCAAATCTGATGATTTCATCTCTCATCTGAAATTTCAGTATTCAAATAATTAAACAGCTCGGTAGAAAGGCCTTCTGTCCTACTTGCCAATAGAAAAACCTGACCAAACTTCTTGCTTTGAGTCTATCTGTAGAATTGAAGTAAAAAATAGGTAAGTTCTCTTAGAGAATTACACTGTATAGACAAAAACCCACGTTCAGTAAAGCTATTGATATATAGCAACTGTGCATCAACAACACTTCAGTTCTTGTACGTAAACTACTAGTTATTAATACAAAAAAGGCTTTTAAAAAGTTTTCTAGAACAATCTATTTAACTTTCTAATTGCTATCTATCTTTAGTTTTATCTTTTTGCTAAAGAGTTTATAGTTTCCAGTGTAGCCAACAAATAACAGCCTAGTCTGTTGTTAAGTATTACCTTCCATAGCCTTTGCTCCAATAAACAGAATTACTGACTACTTGAACTGGAATTCTAAGACTTCTTTTATATAAAGCAGTAAGCATTAAGATACTTTAAAACAGCCTCAAGTCTTCTAGCTATTTCAAACAAATCAGAAATCTAGTGATTCGAAATAATCGCCACTGAAACCATACTGCTGCATTCAGATCTATTTTGAACGTGTGAACAAGGCTTTATCTGGCCCTTTTACAACAGAAAAAATGTGTTGGCAATTACTATATATTGAGTAAGTAATCAGAGTCTAAGGAACAAACTGACTCACTTGGCTTTGCTTAGGAAATTCAGAAAGGATTATTGGGGAGGGGAAGGGGCAGTGTAAAATTAGTCAGCATCATGAAGGCAGAAAAAATTAAGTCCAAAACTATAAGCCAAGATGTTCTATGGGTCTGTGCTTCATCTACACAAATAGCCTGATTTCAGCAAGTACAATATGGTGCTATATGGCTGTTTAAAAAACACACACACACACAAACCCTACCAAACCAAACCCCACCGAAACCAGTTTAATTTGTATCTCCCTTGAAAATCAATAATATGACCATATAATACTAATGTGAACTTCTCCACACCCCTCCTCCAAAAGAATTCCACCAACAGCTGAGGGCCAGCTCCTGCATACTGGCATAGAAAAACCCTCACAGTATGGTATTGCAGTGGGTACAGAAACAGCTAATAGCTTATGCTTATGGTAAATCTGTTCTAAACCAGGCTTTCTATGCAGATGTGTAACCTTCCTTTTCCTTTAGGAGGAAAGATCCATCATACCTACTTGCAGCACGAGGGATGGGCAGACTCGTAAACAGGACTATAACCAGGTGCCCTGGGATTAGTTTGCAGTCCAGCACCTCTATTTGCCATTTATAAACAACTATTTGAGAAAGACCAACTCTGCTATGCTTTTCCAAATTTGAATTGGGTCTAGTATTGATCATCTTAAGAAAAGAGTATATGCAAAATAGATTCTGACTGTATGCATGTTTATGAGGTGCGAGACCCAATCGCATTCTCTTTAAGAGTCTGATGGTTTTCTTGATCATGACTTTCAGTGATCACCATTGTGTCAACAGAAGTGGGATTTTTTAATTCACTGCCAGATATCCCGTATATTTTAGTCAGGCATTTCAGAATAACTCTGGACAGGAGGCTTTCATAGAAGTGAATAGGGGATGAACCAGTGCTCTGTCTGCTGCGGCATAGTCCTACCTCATTCAGCCCTCCTGATTTTAGTGAAGACCGTGTTCTTCTTTTCAGACAACCTCCTTAAAAAGCTAGTTTAACGCTGGAAGTTTTTGTATAACGCAGTTAAATTGGACCCTTCCTGGTAATAGGAATTGCAGATCTTCATCAGGAAACTACATATAAACATACAGCCCCAGGAAGCAATAACATAGTTCTGTAAGTACAAGCAGAACCATTGTTTATGGGGGAGCAGAACACTAGAGGAACCCATTTGTCAAAATGACTTAAGCAGCATAGTACACATATAGCACCAATTCTAAAATTACTTCTTAACATGTTAATGTAACTTGCAAATAAAACATCCATCTTATCAGCTCACACTGTATTGAGCAATGATTTTTTATGCCTCAGATCCTATCCCATAGCAACAAATCTGCAAAAGAAATGAAGGAGAATGAATAAGTGAGCTTAAGGTTAATGCCTACTGTCTATTTCGGTATTTCTGAAGTCAAATGCAAGTTACAAGTTAAAAAAGACTCACTGGTACAAAACACTGATCAGGCAGCAAATTATAGTACTCCACTTCAGCACATGTGCAAGACCTGACAAGACCATGAGCAAGACATTGATTAAAATATAAAATATCAGACAGGGGGAACAACTGCTGTAGTTTGAGAGCACGTGTAGTGTGCTGTGTTAACATACAACCCTTGCAGGGCTTATTAAGAGGCCCAACCTCCACCAGCTCCCATGCCAAAACCACTGCAGGTAATTACTGTGTCAGCTTCCCAAATGCTGTATAAATCTCAGCTCTCAAGACTGATGGTTGCACAATCACCTCTCTGATATCCCTCTGGAATGCTAAGGTTAACATCTAAAATGACATATATTTACATACTCTAGGAAAAGGTAATTTTCACTTGTTTCAATCAGTCTTTATTTTTTAAACATACAGACAATTTTTGCAGCCATACAACTTGCTTCATTCTAAAAATAACCTCTTTGCGAATTCACAGAAGGTGATCTGCCTTGACATTTCAGAGTTATGAAACTATCCCGAGTGCCTTAAGCTAGGACTATCAAGAGATAGTATTCTTTCAATAAACCACCTAGTTACTTTCTCAGTGGAGTCTAAGAGAGTTGTTGCTTATACTTTAAAACATGCATAAGCTTGTTTGAAGACATAGTATCTTAAGAGGGAGACATGTAACATGTAATTGAGGAGTACAAACTCTGTATTTTAGACAGCACACTCTTACTAAAGCCGAATAGTACGTATTATATTCTAGTAATTGGCTTTAAAAACCAGTAAAATTTACAAAAGTCAGTCATGAAGATATAAATATCAACAATTCTCAGTGTAACTGATGTCCCAATCCTGCCTCCTTAAAAATTTAAGGATCTGAACTTAACCATAAAAAACATCAAATTGTATTTGCTAAAGAAAATGGACACTATGCAGTAATGAAGCATTCTTGATCTCACACTCGTGTGCTGCTCATTTGCACAGAATGGGTTTTCAGTTACTCTGCTTGTCTGGCCTAGTTATGCATCGATTATGGCACTTAGGAAGACTGAAGCACTTTTGAAGAAATGGAGTTCACACTGAAACTACAGCTAGTAATTTCTACAGGGCAGATACAAGCCAAGGCAATTCAAAGATTTGTTGATGCATAAGGAAGCTACCAACACCATTCATTGTAAGGCAACAGCACAAAGGAGACACTTTTTAATTGTTCAGGTCTGTTTGCATTAACAAATATGAATAATACTAAATATTGGAGATTAATTTTTTTTTACAAGGCCAAATATACTTTCAAACTTGAACTAGTGAGTGATGAATAACAGGATAGCTGTGTGTAAGCTGAAAATGGTCAAATGTATCCATAAACAGTAGAGTATGTACATAATGGTATCTACAATGTATATGGGAATATGTGGAAAAATTTTTGTGGTGAGTTACAGAAAACATCACAAATATGCAGTTTTCATACGGATACATATCAATAAACACTTGCATTACAACAACAGTAATCCTCTTAGAAACTAAGAAGCACTTGCATATATTTTAGCTCAACATCTATCACTGATCACACAGAGAACCTTATTACTCTGTTCCCTGCTCTCCCAGTCCCAATGCAGCCAAATATTTGAGGCAAGTCAAGTTCATAATGAAGAAAACCTTCCCGGTACGCACAGTAGACCAAAGCACACTCTAAAATGTTTCACTAAATGGGGATGGAATACAGCAATTTGCTGTACAGATTTCTGAATGCCTGTAAAAAATTTTGGACAGATTTTATAAAGGCAACACTCTTGAAGAGAAGCTGAGATATGTCTTGTAAGAAATGGGAAAGAGGGAAAGGAAAAAAAAGTAAGACCTACTTACCCCTTCTGGGAGGGGAAGAAATGTGTCTACCTTAAATCCACAACCTATTTTTGCTCACCTTGCCACCACATTATCTTTAACAAATCTCAGAAGCAATTCACAGGAGGAGGGGCACATTTTTGCACTACAAGTCATCCACTCCAGCTAGCTGTTCCTTATTTGACAAGGTGATGTAATTTCCTTTTTCTCCTTTGACTTTCTATTTAACATAAGTACCTGAGATAGAGGTATCCCTTTTAATATTTAAGCATTTCAGACTTCCAGTTGGACTTTAAAAGCTTAAGAGCTGTTAATATATTTTCTGGAACTCCATATACTTAAAAAAAAAACAAACCCCTAAAAATTTCTGGTTCTCTAGTTCTCATATCATCCCTTAAGTACTTCTGTCTGTGCAACTAGATGAATGCTGAGTAACTGACACCTAGCAGAAACAGCCTCATGAGAAGGTTAGTTTAAATCTACTAATAAATAATTAGATCTTATTTACTATGCATCAAACCTCCATAGTGCAGGTCAGTATTCCTGACTCACAGGCCAAATCATGCCCTGATACGGGCCTCAGAAGATTTTTCCATTTATAGGAATTATATTCTTTGCAGTTATTATATAAATGAATTGCATTCTTAACTTCCAGATACTTTTCTACACGTTCTGCCAGCCAGAAATAGACCATTCCGTTGCAAAGAATTTAAGACTATGATCACTTAGTAACTGCTCAAATCATAGGTGCCTGCAAATAAAACTAATTCTACGGGTATACTCCAGACAAATCGACTAAACAGCAGACAAATGATGTATTTGGATTGTAAGTCAGCTAGTTTGAAATACATTCAAAGAACCACAGTTCATCAAGGAGTTTAAGTTCACTTAAAATTTGGGCTACCATTTCGCAGTCCTGCACAGCAAATGGGAGGAACCTGTAAATCGCCAGTAGAAAACTAATAATTAAATAGCAAGACAATTGCCTTGCCTCTGTTTGTCAGATTTCAGATGCATGCTTAAGGTATGGTACTTCACCCTCCTGAAAATTTTAATGTGAATACAGACAGCTTACATTCAGGAAATAAAAATTCCTTTATAGCTGACTCAGAGTCATAACCATAGTGTTAGACACAGTGTGATAACTTTTAATTCTGTTTTCCACTGCAGAGAAGTGGAACTGTTTTCCTCTGAAATAATTCTTATACTGCAGAGGATGACAAAGGGCTTCACCAAGGACATATTCCCCTTCTCAAAAGATAGGTTTCTATTTTAAAAAGGAAAATAGAAAATTATCCCACATAGGTAAAGAAAACTAGGTCTGTGCATAAAGTAATAAAGGTAAATTGAGCAGTTTAACTAGATTATAAATGCAATTCACAAATGCATTTCACCTGTCATTCCAGTATAACAAACATTCAAGTATTCCCAAAATGACCACAGATCTTGCCCCCAGAGCCTTTTCTATCCAGTTTATTAATATGTAATGAGGTACTGTTATCTTTAGATCAAGTATAATAAACTTTTTCTTATTACTTCAGAATACTGCACAGGCCCCTTAGTCTGTGCACTAGTGACAGGAGACCACTGAAGTCTACAGAGCCCCCCGGCCTGCTCGCTCTGCGTGTCACAAGCTCTGCGCGTCACAGGCTCGAGAGACGCACGGTCAGTACTGGAAGGGTACAGCGATGTCTCCAGATTTACCATCACAGACTGGCTATTTTAGAAAATCGAGGATAACTGTGTAATGGGGTGGTAAGTCACAAAGAAATGTTTATTCTAAATTAAGCCATCCTAAATTAGAGTGCGAAGCACAGAGTTCGAGCCCAGAATGCGGTCCCCTGTTACTCCCAGGAGCGAGACGAGCACTGATACTGTTTCGGGTCAGGAAGAAAACGCGTGGCACGCCACGCTGATTTCCAAGAATGTGGTTACGGGCTTCGCTGACCCCAGGCGGGTCCCATCCCCCCTAGAGAGACTCCTGCCGCGGTAGCGCGCCCAATCCCACCGCGGCGAGCACGGCGGCGGTCACATCCGACATGCCCCCCGGC